TTGCTCTGTGTTCTGGCTCTGGTTTCCTCTGGGCCTTTGCTTCAGGCCATCACAACATAGCCCCACACTTACATCCACATGGGTCTTGCTTAAGGTGGGGCTCTCTTTTCCGATGGCTCCAGCAAGTGTCCAGGCTTAATTCTGGTCCTCTCCGGTCGTCTCTGCACCAAGCAAGGCTCTGTGTCTGAGCCTGTACTACATACTAACTCCCCGACCAGTGGTGGATCAGAAATTCCACCTGTCAGGGAAGTGCGTTAGGTAAATAATGACACATAAATAAACCGTGAGTGAGGGAATCCGTGGCAGGATCGATTATGGATTGGGGGAGATTCAAGGGCATAGCATAGAGAGGAAAGTGCCTCTGGCTTCTGTGGGTGTGAAACCCTCTCACTTGCGGCCCCAAAGGAAGCCCAAGCACGGGCTCAGAGATGCGTTGCCCATGTGGTCCCCATGTGCACAGTCTGGTCCGCTTACAATAGAGCCATACCCACTTTTTTTTCACTGAGCAGGTGCAACGTCCGCTTAAGGCTGAAGCTACTGGACCTTTCTTGCCCCTGGATGCCTGAGGGCAGGAGTGGGCTCTGGGCATGGGAGGGGACACGTGAGGTTGCTTAAGCCCTGAGGGGAGACAAAGCCTTGCCTTTGTCCCTGTCTACATGGTTTGGACAGGCTTGCCCTTCCACGTGTTAGAATCCAGGGTCTGAGGTTGGGAAGGTGAAGCTCAATGGAGATCTCAAAAATGCGTGTTGCTTCGAATGGCCTGCAGGCCCTTCACTGATGGGTTCTCTGGTCCCTGGTGTACAGCGTGTCACCTGTAACACCCGACCCTTACCATTAAGATCTGACTCAACATCTGAGGGTCAGAATATAAGCAGCGCTCTGCCCCGTCGGGTCCTGCAGGCTGCTTCCTGCCGAGGTGGCCGGGATCCAGCCCTTGGCCGGCAGCTGGTCTTGCCGGTAGTGAACTTGCACAACTGCCCCATGTGGAATGCTGATCACATAGACACCCCCTCTTCTCCATCTCCTGCCTTCGCTCTCCTTTCTTCTGGAAATACTATGTGATATACAGAAACTAGCAGAGTGTTGTATCAAAGTGCGGATACCCCATACGTCATACTATCACCAGTGGCGGTGGAGTCTCCTTTAATTATCTGTCAGCTTTCAGATTGAGCTGAAACAAATTTTTATTATTAGCCAGCTTCCCAAGTCAGTACCTGGGAGTTGCCCTGAAGTCTGTCTTCCCCTCGAGCTCTGGCCAGTCAATCACCAAGTCTAATCAATTTCGCATCCTTCAGATCTCTTGAATTGCTTCTTGCGTGGCTTTCTTATTCAAATCACCTAATTGTCTCTCTGCCTTCAGCTCTGCTTACCATCCCATGCATTTTCCACACTTGCACCTGCGTGATATCACTGAAACCCCATCCGTCTACCACCTTTGCTGGTCTCCCCTATCTTAGGGGACACCTGCAGACCCCCGGGAACTGGTCTCCACCTCCTTCTGCAGTCCTAGCTCTCACCTGCTCCTGGCTCTGGATCCTCTGAGAAGAAAGGGGATGGTTTTTTGGCCAAAGGTCACCAGAAAGACCCTGATCTTTGGACCTTCTGGATTTCTTCCTTTGCTAGCTCCCAGGTTCAGGGCCAGCTTGGGATCAAAGGCTGTCTTGAGGCCATGTGTCTCTCTCCTCACCCTGATTTCTTTCACCCACCTGCAGGGTTCTGCATTGGCTCTTACACTGGCACCCTCAGTTTTACCCCATTGACTTAAACAGGGCAACACAAGTGGCACAGTCCCTGGTAGAGCTGGAGTCAATGTCACGACCAGTTTCTGTTCAGCCCAACTTCCCGATCTGTTATACATTCTCCTGCCCATCTTTATGTCCTCCATAAACATAAGCTGTGACCGTATTTATGCCCATCTGAGTTATTGACCAAGATCTGGATACTGGTTGTGCTGGGGACAGACCTCTTGTGCCTCAGAGAAGACCTTGCTCTGGCTTAACAGAAATCCTTCAATTGGCTCGGCACTCATGGGTTCAGTTTTGCAGCCAGCTACTCCTATGTTTCTTTTCTTTCCAAGGAAAACACAAGAGATTATGTCAAATTAAATGCTGAACTCCAGAAATATCCTGCGTAAGGTACAGGCTGGTATCTGATGGAGTGGGCTTTGAGTCATAGCTTCCTGACACAGACCCGTGTGAGCCTGAGCAAGTGGGCAGTGTTCCTCAGCATTTCTGTCTGCCCTGTGGGAGCAATGACCTGGGGGTAGGTCCTGGCTCCACCACTGTTTTCTTGTATGACGCTTGCTGAGTATGAGTGCCGTTTTGAAAGCTGGGGTAGGAACAGTGACAATAACCCACGCAAATGGCTCCGGAAATGTAGCCCGTAGGAAACAGAAGCAGGAGTGTCAGCTCTTGTTTCGGTTATAGTTACCATCATTTAACTTCTCCACGCCTCAGACCCCCATGCACAAAACGGGAGTATGCTACTAAAAACACTTGTTGGGCTGTCCAAGAAACGTGGGAAATGTCCAAGCCAGCCTCCAGCCCGCGTAAATCCTCCGTCCGTGGCGCTGGTTAAATTCACGGCACTCGTTTCCTCTGTCCCTTCAGTGATATTAGAAGAGAAATGATATGGCAGTGGCTTGGGAGGAAAGGGACAGTGTGAGTGTGTGTGTGTGTGTGGGTGTTCATGCTCTATTGTAACAGATTTCCTCCTGTGTTTTGCAAAGTGTGATGGCTCCTTGATTTCACAAGTTCGATCCTCTCAGTGTGCCCCGAAAACAGGCTGGTAATTACCTCCTTGGCAATTGGTATTCCCTAAGGATTAATGTGTGATGCCAGCTTTAACATTAGAGCCATAATTAGAATATTCATTATGCTGTTAATGTTACACCATTCATCGTATGTATATTTACATACAAGAAGATAAGATAATTCTGTGTAACTTACTCGGGGAGCAGGTAGGCTCCTGGATCATGTGAAACATTCTTTTCCTAATCAGCTAAGACAGGAAGGAGGAGGAAATAAACATTGGCCGAGGACCCGAGATGTACCCAGACCTGTGTTAAGTGCTGTGAATACATGATTTTGCAGAATACTCACAATAGTGTCCAGAATACGCATTACTGTTTTCTCCATTTTCAGAGGTTTGGGGCAGGAAGGGGCTGACTTCATGTCACAATAGTTAACTGGTGCTTAAGTCAGGGGTTGAGCCCAAGGCATTTGTGAATCAAGATGCCAGGTCTCTGTCCAGCTAAGAGGACCACTCCATCTTCACCTTCCTCGTGAAGGGCGTGGCCGGACTCAGCTATGATTTTTGCAAAGCAGTTGGGGAGATTTTAGCAAGAGAGGGATTGAGGCAAACATGAAGCACCGTTTAAATAATGCAGGATCTCATGACTTAAGTCCTTCGTTAAAGGCATAGAAATGTGTTAATTTGTACAAACCAGAAGCAGCAGTAAGAGAATGGCTGGATTCTCAGTTTGGGGCATTTTTAAGAGATTTCCAGGAGCGACCTAGTCTTTCTGTTGCCGTGACTCTAGGTCAAGAGTGGTCAGGAGAAGGGCTGGAGGGGGTGGGAGGGGACGTGTGAAAGATGCCGGTCACTCATCTTCCTGGGGGTCCACTCTGAGCACAGGCCCTTGGTCGCCTCTCAGCCCATGCAGGGGAGCTGGTGCAGCAGGAAGGCCCTGGCTGGGCCTTGGGAGTCCTGAGGTCTCCTTGCTGTGACCTCGGGAAGTTACTTTGCCCACCTGGTCCTCTTTCTCCTGCCTTGTAAGATGAGATTGTGCTAGTTGGGGTTCTGATCTGTAGGTGACAGAAACTCACATAATAATTGCTGAAACATCTCTCTTTTTATGACCTGCAGATGAGCTTCCTTTAGGCAGTGAGAAGGCAGTGGCTACAGGTTTACCCTGCCCCCCAGATGAGGACCTGATCCAGACCTAAAATTCCAAGGAAGGATCCGGATGGTCTGTCCTGGTCTCAGCTTTACTCAGGTGCCCGTGACCAAGAGAATGGGATAGTGAGGCTGATTTTTATCAGAAGGTAAGGAGCAGAGATGCTGGGCAGGCAGTAACGACCGCTGTCTGCCAAAGAGAAGGAATAATCACCGTGAATTCCAAATTAAGCAAAATATGTTTGCCCATTTTATCAGTTAAATATTTACTGATTTCTCCCAACAAGCACTTTCTTCTTTCCTGTTTTCTTCCTTCTTTAGTGTGACCGAAATTGTTTATAGAGTAGGTTGGAGTTTTATCTTCCTGTTCAGCATTTCTTCTGCTAAGAATTCGTTTGATCACTGGCCTCTCTTCCCTTCAGCGGGTGCAGAAGACCCTCCCCACTGCCACCCCCCCCCACCATAAGGCCTCTGTAGTCATGATAGACAGACTCCCAGTGCGTAAAGGGGCCCCTTTCACTGCAGTTATCAAGACAGTGAATTTACTCTTCTCTCCATCTTGTTAAAACATACCCAGGGGAAAAGAGATCAACTTCCAAACTTTAAATTTTATTCTATGACTCCATTTGCAAAAGAATCTGCAGCAACTCACCCCTAAACACTCACACATACACACACAGACAAACAAACAGCAAATCACCCAACCAGCCAGCCAACCAACCAACGAACCAGCCCAAACAACTACAGCACCAACACAGTAAGTTCATCAAAAATCGGGTAGAAATAGACATTTGAGGGAATAAAGCAGAGGGCAGCTGGGTCGTCGCTGAACATAAGGGTGATAGCGGTCCTTGGGTTTAACATCACGTCAGTCCCAGGTTCTTGGTGTCCAGGACAAAGACAGAGACATCCTGTATGTGACCTTAGAGAACATCCCAGTTTATAGGGAGCTATAAAGATCCTCCCCCCTTGAGACAGGCATTATTATCCTCATCTTTTCTAGCTCTATATTCTCAAAGAGATTTCACGTCTGAATTTCTGCTTAAACGTCCATGAATGGCACAAGGGCCTATTTCCTCAACTGCAGGAACAGACTGCATGTGACAGGTTCCTGTGACTCCTACTGACAAGAAATGCTGGTCATGACATTGAGGACTTCTGGCTGGCTCTGCATGGAGCTCACTTGGGGGCATTTGAGGGGCACTTGCTGTAGAAACTGAGCTGTGGTTACACACGTCTGTCACTGTCAAGTTCCAGGCCCGTGGATGCATGGCCTGAGTGATTTCACAACTTCCCTTGTGGCCATGGGCCACGCCTCCTTCCTGAAATGCCCTGAGGTCCTTCAAGTGCCCCTTCTGGGGAGGTTTCTGATCTCTCCCAAGGCTGGCGGCTGCCCCTTCCCCGTGGTTGTCTTCCCCGCACTCAGCCCTCCCAGAGTCCAGCTGTCTGCACATGCCTCCAGTGGGTCCTGGAAGCTCCTTAGCAAGTATTTGTCTACTGAATGGACAGAGGCTAAAGGCCCATGATCTTCAGAAAGAGACACTACCTGGACAAATTTCAGGTGAGCCACCATACGGCCCTGAATTAGACACCATTTTTAGTGCCATGGAGTGAGAAGGATGAAATGTATCCGCCAAGGGAATCAGAGGTAGGAACTTTCCAAAAGTCTGAATATACTGGTTTTTTAAAATTTATTTTATTTTATTTTTTACTTTTTGGGTCTGCCACACGGTATGGGAGATCTTAGCTCCCCGACCAGGGATCGAACCCATGCCCCCTGCCGTGGCAACGCAGAGTTTTAACCACTGGACCGCCAGGGAAGCCCCTCAATATACTTTTATTTAAGTGGCTCTTCTACAGAAAACTGAAATACTGGTTATATTGGAAGAATCCACCAGTCAGCTGACGGTAGTTATTGAGTGTCTACCATGGGCTGGTGTCATGGGCGGCGTGAGCGTCGGCTGGATGGCCGTGCAGTGCTGGGGTCCCCACTCGCAGGACCCACGGCTCCTAAGTTCCTGCCTAAGCAGCTGGTGGTGATCCGGCTGTTTCCTGAGAGAGAAGAAACAAGAGGAGACCTGATCTTGGTGATGGGCTTGTAAGGAAGGGGCTGGGTGGGAGGGTCAGGTAATAGGGTTTTTTTGGGGAACACATTACATTTGAGATGTCTATTGGATGTCCTGTCAGTTATAACCAATGGGAAGCTGCTTAATGCCAAGTGCATTTTCCCGAAGAACTTGGAATACACTGTATTCCACTTCTGTTATAGGGGTCTTAATTTTTGTTTGACTTTTCACCAACCGAATGCTGCTCAGGCACCACCTCATTCCTCCTCCACTTCCTTCCATCCTTCTCTTTCTGTTTACTTTGCTTCCTTTCTGTTGATTTGGGGGAAAGAAAATAAGCCCTGTCCTTCTCTACTCTCCTCAGGTACGGTATTTCTAGATAACGGATGCCTGCAATGCATTCATTCATTCAACAGACCTTTACCGACCGCCTTGCTCTGCACTAGGCTAGCATGAGAAGATGAAAGGAGTAAATACAAAGAAGAATAAAGCAGAATACGAAGTGAAGTGAGGATACAGAATGGTAACCAAGTAACTGGGACATTCAGTTGCAAGCAAACATGAAGAGCAGAGGGAACCTCGGAGGGGTGGCTCTAGGTGTGCCAGAAAAGTTGCACAGCGGAAGTGTCTTTGAGGTGCTCTTTGAAGAATGCGAGTCCATGAAGCAGAGGGGAGAGGGGAGCAGCTGGGGCCGGGCTGGAAGAGTCCTGGGGGCCGGGAAAAGGGGTTTGTACTTTGAGAGTCTGGAGCTTGTCAAAGTTTAAAATAATAACCTAATGACACCATCAGGTTGGACGATGTCTTACCTGCTGATTCCACAGTAACCCTGTGTCTGGGGAGAGGTTTACTGCTCTCCTCCTGTGTTACAATGAGACCCAAAATTCCAGAACCTTCTGCACTGGCAGACTCTTCTATCCTGGGGACATAGGGGTGCAGCCATTACTCCCTCCCCATGGGAACAGAGCTCGCTCTCTAGACCCCTGTTACGCTGACCCTCACTTCCAATTCTAGAAGGAATTAAATGTAAAAACTACGGTTGGAGGTAAGATTGCTCACCGCTTTCTGTGGCCAACAAAGTGGGGTCCCATCTGCCAGCATTTCGAAATAAGTATTCCATTTTTTACATCTGGTCAGACCCCCCCTACCCCAGGTGGTGATACACCAGTGTGCGTGCTAGGGATATTTTATATTGGTGTTGTGGTCATGTGTGAGTGTGAGTATTTGTGGGTGTATGTGTGTCTCAAGGTGGCAGCCACAGCTGACCCACCCTGAAAGAGGGCATGTCAAAGTCAAGGTAAAATGCTCGTCAAGCTGATTCACAGGCAAAGAAAAGGACTGCTTTTTTTGTGAGAGTATTTTCACAGTTTAGAACCAGAGGCTTCCAGACATGGTTGAAAGCTATGCTGGGCAGGAAACATAAACCTTCCTTGCGAACCTCCTATGAAGGGCATGCCAACCATAAATATTTAGCATTATTAAATGCAAGTATTTATTAAAAACATGGGGCTTTATTTTAAAGGATTTCCGGGCTTATTGTACTTCGTGTCAACAAACGTTAGCATGTATGGCTTTACCTCCCAGAGAAAAGTTTCAGTAGCGGGCATTTAGTGAGATCTGTACACCTACACGTTGCAGATGGTCTCGTTCTATAAGAGATGAAACTGCATTTGGTGGAGCTGATTAAATATAAAAACACCACCATCTGCCATTTATTCTAATAGAAAATGGTTTGGGCAGATGCTGACATCTTTGGAGATGATTGATTCATCCCTGACAAGAGAAGTGGCTCAGAGCCATCTAGCTGCCCACGGCTCAGACAATCCCTGTTCACAACACAAGGGCCAAGCCGGGCGCTCTGATTTGGATGTAGCAGGTGAACAGACAGCACTTCAATAACGAAAAGCCAAGAATTTCTAAGCGCATCGACTGTCTTCTCCCCACTCCCTGCCTCTCTTGACTTCTGGCCTATATTTAGCTGGAAGAATATTCTAGCCACACGCTGCATTGTATTAAGTGCCGGTTACTCCAGCACCGGGATACCTGGAGGAGAGTCTATTCTCATTTTAGTGTTAAAAACTTTCAAATGCTCTCTTCATGTGCTACTGCTGGGTAGAGAATTATTTTCCCTAAGCCGACTGTAGGGTTTCATTAAAAAATATATTGTTTACAAAGCAACCATGACACCCATTCCAAACTGACTTGGAAACAGCTGTATCCATACTGTGAAACATCTATGGTGATCAAATGCCCTTTACAAGGAGATAACAAACTGTGTCTTTCTGTAGGAATATTTTTGTAACAATTCTTTTACAGCCTAAATATTTTCAGGAAGAAAATTTAGACATCAAGACATTTATTTGGTACTACGTTTATAAAATATCTTTCTATTTATGTAGTGATCGTTAGATGTGAACTAATTTTTTTTCTCTGATAGAATTAAATTCAGAGGTGAAGCTGGGTTTTCCCATCTTGTTCATCACATTTTAAAATATTTGAATTCTTTGTGTTGTGTTAGGCAAAGTGATTTAAGACTATTTCTTGATATTATTTTCAATTAAATGCAGCCAACCTACACCCCAGTGCATTTGTGCTGCAATTAACTATATTTGTGTGCCTAAAATTATGCCTGTTTGTATAGATATGTTTCCATTTTGTGCTCATAGAAAATTCTGTTATTTTGAATTAGGTGCTCGTCCACTTAGTGCCTCTCTATTTCTCTATTTCCTGTTGTCTATTTCTTCTAACCGCTGTCTACTCTAATAATCAAAGCAGGAGAATTAAAGTTCATCTATTTCTCTGCCAGCATTTTACGTGAGACGTGCAGTAAGTGTTACTGGAAACTCCATCTCTCAGTCATGTTCCCAGCATCTCTCTGTCACGTTCCCAGCATCTCTCCTCTACCTCCTCTCTTCTCTGCCTCATAGACCAGCCTTTGAACCACTTTTCATATCCTGCTGACATCTTTCCTCCCCCTGCCCCCGACATTGACCACTGGTCTTCTCTACGTTGTTTATGATCTTATTTCTTTCTTATTCCTCCAGGTGATAGGCATCCTAGGAGTCACCTTTCCAGAGCAGTGGGAAACTCTGATGGGGTAGTTTTCTCCTTTCACTGGAGTTATCACCACAGACTTTGGCCACCTGCCCACACCCTTCTTCTTGAACTTTCTCCTTGTCTCTCTACACGCAGAGGCATTCTTTTCTTCCCTTTTCCTTCCTCACCTGTCTCTCCCTTTCTGGCCTTGCTTGTTCTTCCTCCCTGCCAAGAGGAACTACTCGCTGAGAGCTGGAAACACCTAGAAGAATAAGATGCCATTATGGGTAGAATTGTCCCCCACCTTGTCCATGTGCTGAAGTTCTAACCCCCAGTACCTCCAGATGTGACCATCTAGGAGAGAGGGTCTTTAATGAGGGAATCAAGTTAATGTGAGCTCACTAGGGCCGCCCTGATCCAATTGGACTGATGTCCTTATAAGAGAGTCACCTGGAGGGAAGGTGACCCCACGAAGACACAGGGAGAAGACGGCCATCTACAAGCCAAGGAGAGAGGCAGGAAGGACAGAGCCTTCCCTCTCAGCCTTCAGAAGGAACAAATCCTGCTGACACCTTGACCTCGGACTTCCAGCCTCCAGAACTGAGAGACAATGCAGGTCTGTCGGTCTTCCCCCAGCCTGTGGTGCTTTGTTACAACAGCCCTAGGAAACTAATACAGAGACCATCCCTGCCCTCAAGAGATAAAGATGCAGAAGGCAATCATGAGATGGTGGCAGTTGCTAATGAAGCGTGGTGGAAAGACAGAGAAAGTCAGAATTTAGAGGAACAGTCATGTGAACGGGTTGGGAAGGCTTCTTGGAGGATGGGGCACAAATGTTGCAACTTAAATGATGAGTAAGGAGTTTTCCAGCAGATGTTTAGAAGCAAGTATTCTGGGCAAATGGGAAAACTTATGCAAACGTAGGAGGACGCAGGGGAACTGTGGTCACAGGTGAGTTTTGTCTGGGCACTCGGGTAATGATGGTGGTTCATGTGGTACTTTTTCCCTGCATCCCTCTTCCTTCAGGACACGAACCCACTTCCTGCCTCTTCACCCTCCTTCATTCTGACGGACGTTATTTGGAATCCAAACCTTGGATTTGAAATATGAGAGGAACATGCATCCTGCTACCTCTTGCTGCATAACTTAGTGGTTTAAAGTAATAACAAGTTGCTGTAAATCACAGCTCTGTGGCTTGGCTGATTTCAGCTGGACAGTTCTCTCGGGGTCTCTCAAGTGCTGCCGTCGGAGGGTGACTGGAACTGGAATTCATCTGAAGTTTTGACCGGGCAGGGGTTCCAGACAGCTTCTTCACTCACGCCTGGCGCCCAGCTCGCATGGATGGCTGGAACAGCTGCGGTTGCCTGCATCTTTCCATGCCGCTTCTCCACATGCCAGCAAGGGCGCCCTCACAGCATGGTGGGACCAGGTGTCCAGACTTCTTGCTTAGGGCCTGGCTTTCTCCAGAACCAGCCTTTCAAGAGGCAAAGGCAGAAACTTGCCCCCAAGCCTTGAAAGTCATACAGCAATGCTTCTGTCACATTTTATCAGCTACTCCAGCTGGGCCAAGATTCAAGGTGAGAGGGACTGCAGGGGGGCATACCTACTGGAGGTGTGGCTAATTAGAGAACAGTTACCACAAGCAGTTTCCAGGTCCTGTTACTGGCTTGTGTTGAGTTCCACCTTTCTTGTGGTTAGTGAGGTGAATCTGTGAGATCCTTGTCAGGAACTTGAACTAGCAACCAGCACCACAAAATGGATTTTATTTACTTGAGAAAACTGGACCAAAGGAGTGTCAGATTTAATAACTAAGTCCTCTTCGCTGGAGCCAGGATGACTGCATGCAGATGTCGCAGTCCGGAGCTCTGTTGGACAGTTCAGCTAGAGCCAAAATTGGCCAGTGATGGAGATCAGAAACTCCTCTGGTGGTTTGATACTTGCAGGGTGACTAGAGGAATAAAGGGCATCATTTGTAAAGCCGTGAAGCCTTCCTTTAACGAATGAGGGCCCATTAACGTGATCATTCGGCCCCTTTATAGGAAGTGCCTGGGTGCTCTCTGATGCTATGACCCACGGGTCATGATGCAGAGCCTTTCAAGGACATCCTCTTTGAAGCCAAAGCAACTAAAATATAAGTCAAGGTAAAAATTAAACTGATTGCTAATTCCCTTTCTGTGAAGTATCTTTCAATCCTAGTTAACAGGATTTAATCTTCAAAGCAAGGAGCCTTGTTTGCTAAATCCTTGTAAGAGACACAGTCGTCAGCAGGGACAGGACAGCTGGATTTTCAGTTGCAGTCAGAAGCCACGAGTGGTCTGAACTCCGCACACGCAGCATCCTCCCCTGGGGTGGCCCACGGTGTGGGCAGCTCCCAGCTCTTCATCCTCAGGTTGGCATTGCTGTGTCCACAGACTCTCGGACCACTCTGTGTAATTTGTACCATTTCCCTGTGATATTAGTTTTCTTTCTTTTTTTTTCCTGTGAGCAGATTTTTCCTGCCATATGCTCATTTAATTCTAATTGTGGTGCATGAACATCTTGTGCAGTAAGTGGCCATGTCCCTGGAGGCTCTGTGAAGCTGAGCTGCATGTGACCGGTGACACCCTGTCAACGTGAGACACTCATTGGGCAGGTCCCGATAACATGGATCTCCCATCCCCATGCACAGGTCCAGAATTTTTTTGTTCTCTTAGTAGGAAGCCTGTATTGTTTGATTGCTCCCAAATTGCTTACACATTGGTTAGGGAAAAAAATTCCTATGTGATGTGTTTTTAGAAACAGTTTTCCTGAGTCCTGGACCCTACAGTTTGAACCTGGCCAGGGAAGGCTGAAAGATGAAATGTTCATTTTTAAATTCCCCAGGGCCAGCAGTAGAAGTTTCTTGGCCCCGGCAAGTTGACGAGACATAATGGTCCTCACCAGTAGGTCTTGGGAACATCCAAGGCAGGCTTTTTCCCAAATGTTCACCTTCTCAATGGAAAGCTTGGCTTCTGTCAGCTCAGTGTCACTTGGCCTGGCCTTGCAGGTAAAGGGAGATGAAGGAAGGGGCTGGGCAATGACATCCTGCCCTGTGATGTTCTCACCTCAGAGATGAGCAGGGCAACGATTTCTGTAGAACTGTAGCATCTCTTCCTGTGAAACTGATTGATGCCTCCTTGTTTCTGGTTTGGCCAATGGTCAATTAACCTTCTCCTCTCATTGCCCGCTTTTCTCTCAGTGCCCACCCTTTTTAGGAATGAGTCCTACTCATTTCTAAAAAATTTCTCCCAGCTAGATTTGAGTCACCCTCCTGCTGGCTGTGTGCATATTTGCGTGTCTCTCGCCAGCATGTGGAAGAGATCAACCATGGTAGTTTCTTTTTAATGTTCTCCCTTTCTATTTATACTTTAATGCCTTTGCAGGTCTCAATCAGCTCACTTCTCAGTCTTCATATTTCCAAACTTCATATTTCTATATTTCGTTCACGTCGAAGCTCTTCTAATCCTTTGGATGATTTTTGTTGCCTTTCTTCTGCTTCTCTAATCTCTTTCTGTAGAGATATTCACCAGAACAACACCAGGTATGTCAGGGGGAAATTAATTCATTCACCATTTCACTAAGATTTAATCTGGTCCTGTGTTTTCCCAAGAGCTATGTTAGCTGTGTCAAGGTTGACAGATGTTTTTTGTTTACTTTACGATCACGTTTCAGAGTTTGGTTTGCTCTTTAGGAGGCTAGAATCACCTTGAATTTTCAAGAAATAGCCTAGACAACTCCTTGAAGGTTGTGAAGCACAGCCTTCCTTCAAATCAGCTACAGTGGGAGCATTTACACCACGGAAATTGGCAGACACTGCAAAGGCTTTTTTTTTTTTTTTTTTTTTTTAATGAAGAGCCAGTTTACCTTTGCATCACTAGTTATGATGGATAGATTTGGTATCCATGGGCTCATATGTACAATTCAGGTCAGTTTATGGTTCATGAAACATTGATGCTCTATAAGACTATAATAGGTGTTCATTCAGCAAAGGGATTTTGAACAATTATGGGGTAAAGACAATTAAAGATGGTTTTTTTAAATCAAAGGGCATCTTCTGGTCTTTAAAAATGGTAATGTACTTCGTGAATATTCAAGAGAGAGAGAGAGAGAAATTGAATAAGTTGTTTCCCTAATTATTTAACTGAAGAACCCTCTCCCCTAGAATGCTGACCTGTTATGATGTCACTGGTCCCTGAGCGATTGTGTTTTAGATTCTTTCTCCTGAAAGTATACCATTAGATGCATCTCAGTGGGTTTGTGAAAGCTTGCTGTAGGTGGGGCTCCACCCAAAGTCAGGGAGCTCACAGACTTCATGGTCCCTTATTCAGCCTGCATTCTTCCATCTCTGTCTTAGCCAGTTCTTACTCAGTGTTCCATTCCTAACAAAAACATTCTTGTCCATAACACCCAGTCTTTGGGACTTGACGAAATATCTTTTTTGAAAGTCTAAATAAAGGTGTTTTCTTTTTCCTCAAGGAAAACCCTAATTAGTTAGATATTGCTGTAAGAAGAAAGCACCCCCCGCCCCAGTAATTGTGCTTATGTGTTGGGTGACCTCACCCTTGATTACAGGTTATGCCTACGTGTGATGAGCAAAGCGGTCCTCAGCTAAATACAACACAGCTACGTGCTTCTTGTCTCGTAACCATGATCCAGTGCCTGTGTTTGGACAAGGCCATGACTGTTAATTCTGCTTAAATTTGATTAAATATTGACAGTAATATTGATGTTTTTTGTAAAGTGATTTTTTTGTATGCTAGTAGATTTTATTTTGATGGTCCATTGATATGAATTGTGAGGAACAATTCAAATAGAGTATTAACAGATAGCAAGAAAAGATTTTAATATGGAAGTAAGAATTGGAAGGGAATTGTTAACTCTCTGAATAAATACACATACATTTTTCTCAAGATCTTAGTTTTATGTTTCCTGAGGTCTGTGCCCTGACAATGTGCAAGTCTGTTTTATTGAGATTTTACTAAGGGGGTGGGGGACCCGAGACCGCTTATGGATGGTCTAAACAAATGAACTTCCAAGTGATAGATGACCCTGAGGTCCAGAGCCGTTGAGAGACTGGACCTCTCACATAAATATTCATGAGCTGCTACATGGAGTTCAGTTTGGCAACAGATAACTAAAAATGAGCTTAGATCTGATGATTTCACTCTTAGGAACTTAAGGAACTAACATACAAGGATATTTACTGCAGCACCATTTATAAATTCAAGAAAATGGGAAAACTTTAATATCTACCAATGGAGGATTTGTAAAGCCCATTATGGTAGATGTATAAAATAAATATTATACCAATCATTTAAGATGATGATATTGATCAATATTTTTTGACATAGGGAATATGCATGATATATTGTTAGGTTTCAAAAAGCTGCTCGTGAAAGAGTCTGGCAGTATACCCATGTTACTAGCCCATGGGGGTTAGTTACTCCATTTTGGGGGGTAAAATTTACATAAGTATAGATGTAAACCCAGAAATATATTGTGCATATATATGCGTAGGAAAAATATAGATGTTTATGCATCAGGCTGTTAATGATCAATTGCTTTTAGGGAAAGAAATATGGGTTAACTTTCTGCTTAGTGTTTTCTGTTATCTGCTCTTTTTTTTCACTTTTTAAAAATAATTTTTATTAGAGTATAGTTGATTTACAATTGTGTTAGTTTCAGGTGTACAGCAAAGTGAATCAGTTAATGACCTATATGAGAGAAGAATCTAAAAATGAGTGGAGATCTATATGGAACTCAGCCTCCAGGGACTGCCTACCTGGATTCTGCCTTGCTCCTGAGCCCAGGACTGGTCTTTGTTTTTTTTCTGATTCCCCATCCTTGAGTCCTCGAAGTGTTATCTGTAGCATCCTGGCTCTTCCGGTGCCATCTTGCCTTGGTTGGGGCCTCCCTTGGCACTGGCTTGTGGCCTCCCAACCCGCCCTGTGTCTGCTGAGGTCCTGCTCCTGGCTGACAGGCCAACCGCGACCCCCCTTCTTGGGATCCATCACCCATCGAGACGGTTACCTCCTTGCACACCTTCCAGACGCCCAGGACAGTGCACCCACCCGATGGATTGCCTCTCAGTTCCCACGGGGGTCCTGTCCCCTCATCCCTGTGCCTGGCCCTGCTGGTGGGTCTCCTTCCTGCTTGGGCCTGTGTCCATTCTCAGGTATGAATCCCAGGAGATTCCACCCTGTTAGGCCCCATGGCCCCGGACAAAACCAACTCAGACCGGATGCTGGATATTCGTGTATAGAACGACCTGGATAAACTCACCCAGTTAGCGGGGATTCTGTCAGAACCAGTGACATGCTGGGGCAGGAAAGCTCATGTGAGAATCCTTAGAAGGGTTGTTTGTGGATCACGGGTCCTTTGGGGGCTTTGGTGGAGGCATTCCTGTGTGTCACTTTAGGGCCCTGTGCGGCCTTCTCACTTTCCTACCCCGGCCTTCTCCCCATCCCTGTGAGGCCTGCCCTCTGATAAGAACCAAAGAAGCCTTGCCAATGAGCCATTATGACGCGGGAGCAAAGGTTTGTCTTCGAACAGGGTTTTTCTGGGACTGCGTCCCAGCCCCGAGATTAGGCAAGGGTGATGCTGGCAGGAGTAGTTCTGTTATTCTGTGTGGAAGTCACAGACCCCGCTCTTTCCTTAAAACTAAGTGGCAGCTGCACCCCCGTGAGCTTGAGCTCTGCTCTCTTCTCTCCCATCCTGAGTTCATCTCTGCTGCCTTCGTCCTATTGCCCCTTCAGCGCCCACCCCCCTGTCATTAATGATGATTTTTTTGTGGGACACAGTTCAACCCAAATAGCTCCTCCTCTGGCCCCTAAATTGATATCCTTCTTACATGCAAAATACATTTCTACCCATTCTATTGGCCCAAATAGTCGAATATCCCTAGCTAACCATACAGGGGCTCTGAAAGGGAGCCTATCTGGCAGACAGGCAGTTTTAGGTGGGTGTGCAGCACACACAATGCTTTTGCATCAGGAATTTATTTGATACTTACAACTGGCAGGAGACAAACCAAGCCTGACACAGATGGAGCAGACATTAAAAAAATAAGTCAGTTTTTTAATATGGAAACAAGGCCCAGGGGGCTTCAGTGGGGGGTGGAAGGTCACATGGCTGGTGGGGAGGGAGGGGGGCCAGGTCAAGGCCCTTTCAGGCATTCTGTAGCATTCATTTGTCTGTGTCTTGTCTGCAGGAGTTGATTTATTGATGGGTGACCTCAGAATCGATGTATTTTTTCAGGTAGGCTCTGTAATATGCATGGTGCGGTGCGGAACAGGTGAAACCAGGTCCCTGTAAAGGCCAAACAACCAGCCTGCAGATCACCGTGTCTGGGTTCTAGAAACTGGGGGCATGTTCTCTTTAGTCAAACTGTTTGGAATTCGATTTCAGGGATTCCACCGTGTTGAACTACAGCTTGGAAAGCACACAGCGATGCTTTTGGAGAGCGGAGGAGAATCTGGGGGGCCGTTCCCTTTTGCACCTCGCTTTGTCACTCCGTTCTCGTCACAGCCCTGTCGGGACAGCCTCTAACTCTTTGGGTGAGGCATCTGCTTTTTCTTTGGCTTTGTCCAGTGTCCTGAACAGTCTGCAGCTGTTCAAATGGGGCTTTTTCTAAGCAACACCTCTGTGTTCACTTCCGCCGTTACAGGCTTTACTTCAGTAGGTAAATAAGATACAACGGAACTTGGTGTTCGGTAACATTGAATAAGTGAGCAGTGAAAACACAAGCGTGAGATGGGATTGCCCTGGAGGCAGGACAGGAAGCTCTCTTCTCCCTCTGGCCAAGACGCTCTTCTGGCTTCACTGCGTGCAAGTCACTTAAAATCTCTTTTTCCCTCTCTCTCTTCCTGCCTCTCCCCCTTCTAAAATTCATTTTGTAGATCAATACTATGTCTCTAGGGTCAAATAATTGATGCAAACGCCTCTTCTCCTTCAGAGGCCATTTGCCAAAAGGAAAATCATTTCTCTAACGAAAATTAGGCCCTAAAATTTTTGCCAGGGTGTTAGCTATAGGAATGGCGGTTAGGAAACGTCCATTGTAAATCACGCAAGTACAACGTTGAAAGCTTATTAAAGTCACGCTTTACTACTCAAAGCAATTTTTGGCTATTGCAAATGTGGCTTCTTTGTTTTGTAGCACCATGTGGCCAATGCCATGGTGTGGAGTTCCCTAAAGAAATCTTATCCTTAGATCCACAGAGTGAAATTGAACCGCGTGTGAACACCTGAGAAATGCGTGTGGCAAGTACAATACAATGGCCTTTGTTTTCTACTGGTCAGCGCAAAAGATAAGGAATCCATCCTAGAAACATGGAATAGAAGTTAAAACAGCCATAGCAGGCCTCCATCTCTATTTTTTTCCACTGTCTCAACTCTTTAGCCTGCCACTGTCTCCTATCCGGCTCTGTGCCTCAGTTTCCTCATCTGCATCTGCACTGTGTGACTATTGAAAGGTTAAGTGAAATAACACACACCGTGTTTAGAAGAGTGCCTGGCACGCAGTAAGCGCACAAAGACGTGTGTTATTACGATCATTATTATAATGCCATCAGCAGCCCAGACTCGGAGTGGGCTCTATTCCTCCAAGGTGATGGCCGGCAGAACGATGTTTTTGTCAAACTGGTCCTTCCATAAGCACCATCTGTCTCTGGACCAGGAGGGTGCAGTGCTTGGGAACGTGTCTAACGGACTGCGGGATGATTTACAAATTGGACATCAATGCTTCTCGGAATCTGCAGGTCATAAAATCCGCTTCAAGCAAAGCCCACTCAGAGCTGTCAGGATAACTTCAATGGGATGCTTTCCAACAATATATGGGGAGATGGGGCCCTGGCAGAAATTACATCTATTTTGATCATTTTATACAAAACCGCCCAAACTTTATGACTGGAACCTCATATGTCAATCTCACTGATACATACGCTGTCAGCTCAGTGATCACGATCATGTATTTTGACAGCAACATCTGTCACCTGTTCCGAGGCCTCTGTTTATTTGATGTAACAGACTATGTGGCATCGTACGCTTTCTGTTCCTTCAGGTACATTTTCCCAAATTCCACGGGCTCCTGGAGGAAATGCCGCTTCAGATGGAGGAGGAAGGACCTGGGGTCTCAGCCACGCTTCTAGCTACATGCCCATGGCCTGTCTGGCAAATACGGGGTTGCGTCACAATCGTCAAAAATATTTGTGTATCCCTCAGACCGAGGCCCTTCGGAAGACTAAATACACAGGATTTATAATGAGACTCGATTATGGTTGCAGCAAAGGTGAGAATTACAATAAAACCCAAAGCCAAGTCTCATTTCTATGAGAACGTGCAGCCGCCTCTCGCAAACCACATTTTTTACCAGAGTTGTTCACAAGTCCATCTATGGACATGTGCTAGTTTCATTTGTAGTAAGATGATGCATGGGGCCTTTCTCGTGCAATGAGGACCCGCAGGGAGAAAACAAAACAGGTTAAGTGCTCCCACATTCTAACAGAGTGCTAGAAGTTGGGGTCAGACACCTCCACAGGCCCCACCAATGTCACCCGCCCCCCTCGTCCCCAGGCTCAGCCCCCCTTGCCCCAGGCTGTATGAGAAGAGGAATGGGGAGAGAAAGGCAGGTCTGGAGGCTGACCTTCTGGGAAGTGCAGAGTTGGGTGGTGGTGGTGAGAGCCTTTCCTTTCTGCCATGGTGGAGGGTGGTGTCTTCATCCTTGAAGTCAAGGGCAAGTCTCCAAGGGCATCATCAGGGTTGATAGAAGTGTCTGTGAACGAGGGGCCTGCAGCTCATCCTTTGGTAGATGCTTGCTGAGCTCTATCTCCTCCCTGTATCTTATCCCTGGGCCCATCCTGGTGCTACTGTCTAAGTGGAATTGGGGAGGGTTCTAAGGAGAGCTCCTTAGAGATTCTCTGACAACTAAAGATGTGCTCCGTCGTGGAGACTGTTACCTTTTTGGGTGCAGAGATTTCTGAAGGCAGGAGGCCAGCTGGGATGAGAGTCTGATGTGCCTTGGAGAAAGGTGGGTTTGACCCCCATCCATTCCAGCTTTCCAAGGCCATTAGCAGGCACAGAAGAGAGGATGCCGGGCTTCTTGCGGTTCCACATGAGACCATGATGTTATTAGAGGTGCAGGGCCCCGGAACCAGGGCTTCAGGACACGGAGAGGCCAAAGTGGAGCTGAACAGCATCCCGAGAAGACCACACCAGCCAACCACGGGGAGAGGGTCCTATAGCAGGGGGCGTGGCAGCAGACTGGCGCCCTCCTCTCTACTGCACCCATCCAGGAGCTGTACCCCGGGCCCTCATCCCCCTGCTGCCCTTTGCCTAGAAGTCTCCTCCATCTGCATCTACCACCCGTCCCCTGGCTTCATTCAGGCCGCCACTGACACGTCTTCTCCTCGTAGACACCCTCCCTGGCTGCTTCATCTGTGCGAACACCTCTTGTCCCTCTGCATTCCCAGACCCTGCTTTATCTTTCGACAGCACTGTCTGACATTGTACTACACATTCATCCGTTCCCTGGTATCTCCCCTGCCCCCGACACAGGGTGTGTAAGGTCCAAGGGGACCCGGGATTTGCTTCAGCCGACACGTTCTCTCCATGGCCTAGGAGAGGTGCTGCATGTGTCAGGTGCTCAGAAAACATCTCTTAGATGAATGAATGAATGAATGAATGAGCTGGCCTGATCCTTCCTCCTTCGTCAGGCGGTCGGTCGTGGTGGGCAGTCCCCAGCGGGAGTCGTTCAGGTTTCTTCCCTTCGAGAACCATCGTCTGTCCTTCTTGGGCCTGACCCGTGCCTTGGGCTCAGCCACCAGGGCTGGGTTTGACCAGGAGAGACACCTGCAGAAAACTTGGAGGAGAGAGAGTTAGGGGTCATTCTTCCCAGGCTCCGTCCCTGCTGGGCTGTGCCTGGCAGCGGCTGAGGCCACCAGTGCCCACCGTGGGTGCCCCCTCCCATGGCTGGAACTCCCGCCTCATGCCCCTGAGACCTGGGCAAGGCTTCCTGCCATGGCCCATGTCCTGGTCTTCCCTGCGCCGCCCCCTGCTCTGTGAACAGGCTCTTCATTAAGCTCATCCACGGCCCCTTGAGCGTGTCGTCTCTTTCCTGCTGAGACGTGACTGATGCACCAGCCTCCCCACGCGCTCGCCCTCCTTCATCCTGAGCTAGCCACGCAACCTCGCTGCCAGGGTGCAATCCATGGCCAGCTGCATCAGTGGTACCTGTGAGTGTGTTAGAATGCAGACTCTGGCCTCCCCGTGGAGTCTGAATCTGTATTTTGAGACGCCCCGGATGATCTGCGTTTGAGTCTGCACAGCACCAACTGGAGAAGGGGGGGCGTTGTGTGACTGTGGGGCCACGCTCTACCCCGACACTCCGTGGTTCATTTGTAAACTAGCAAGGCAGGCTCTTCAAACATCGCCTACACACTTCTTCCCTCTGCCTCTTGTGGGCAGAGTCGGGGATGCTCTCCTGCTCTGGATTCAGGCTGCCTGGATTCCAATCTTTCTTCTCCTCCTCACTAGCTGTGCAACTCAGGGAAATTTCCTAACCCTCTCTGTTCCCTTGCTTGTCCAGTGAGGATGGTAATCGTGCTGCCTAATGGGATTGAGATGTAAGTCACATGATGCATATGCCTAATGGGATTGAGATGATTAAGTAAGTCACATGATGCATAAGAAGTGAGGGAACCAAGTATGCGGATATATGTGGTAAGATGGACTCAAACCAGGAAGAAAAGCCAAGGAAGCAGTGCCGGAGCCGGTGCCGCCCACAGCATCACTGCATGGAAGCTGAGGAATCCTGGTGGAGGTGCCGGTGTGTCATTTTGGGTAGGAGTGAGGGTGGTCGGGTTTGGTAACATACAGGCTGGAAAACCCTTTTGTGTATTTTACCTCCTAAATAAAAGGCGATCACCTGAAATGATAATCACTAAAGCACTTATATTTACCTGAGAGTTTGCAAGGCCCTTTCGAAGACATAATACAGATACTTAAAAGCCTGAGAAGCAAAGTCCTGAAAAGATCATTCTGGGCAGTGCTCAGTCAGATGGAACCCTTCCAGAATAAAGTTGACTGCAAATGAATCCCTGCTTCCACATGTAATTCTGCAGATGCACTCTGATTTCACAGCCATTGATCAATAATTCATTTGGCTCGTGACTGCCGATGACATGATTTAATATGTCCAGCTAAATTATGTCCCCATAGGAACACTCATGGGGTGTTTGGAACATGCATACCAAAGGAAAAAATTACAATTACCACAGTGTCGGCCCCGAATTGAAGCAAGGCAGCATACGTGCCTAGACATGCAGTTTGAAATAAAAGAGGGACTTGTGATCAGATCAACGGAAGACCTAAAGCAAAGACAGCTCCATGAGCCCAGGACCTTCTGTTGATATCCACAGCTCCTAGTCTGGAGCACCGACCCTTGCTCAGGATCTGTCAATACCCACGGCCAAGATCAGAACAGGAAAGGCCAAGGTGGGGCACACCCAGAGAAATTAACGTTGCTTGAGTAATCCCAAGTACTTATTCGGACTTCCTAAGAAACACGTTTATCATCTTTACTGTTGGTGGGTCTCTGCCTAGTTCTCTGTAATTGTCTTTTGGGCCCCCCCTCATTTAGTGTGAGGCAATTTGGGCGAACCGACAGAAGTAGCAAGGCACGTGTGTGAAGACACTGTGGTGTGTTACCTGAAGAAAAAATACTACAAGGCTTAGTTTCTAACAATAGCAACAAAAGGAATACGCCATCCAGGAGATTTTGTGTGAGACAAAGTTAAACACTAAAAAGAGCCAGATCTGGGCTTCCCTGGTGGCACAGTGGTTGAGAGTCCGCCTGCCGATGCAGGGGACACGGGTTCGTGCCCCGGTCCAGGAAGATCCCACATGCCGCGGAGCAGCTGGGCCCGTGAGCCATGGCCGCTGAGCCTGCACGTCCGGGGCCTGTGCTCCGCAGCGGGAGAGGCGACAGCAGTGAGAGGCCCGCGTACCACAAAAAAAAAAAAAAAAAAAAGAGCCAGATCCTACCCCTCCTTTGTTTTCGCTGGGGTTACACATTTTGGAGCCATATCTGATGGCTTTTCCTCATGTTGGGATCTCCTTCTTTCCTTGTCTGCTGCCACTGTCTTTGAGTGTAACAGTAATCACAGCATAAAAATGGTAACTAGGAGCATGGGGCGTGACATCAGACAGCCTGGGTTCAAATTGTAACTCCATTGCTCACTGGCTGTGTGATGTTGGCAAGTTACTTGACCTCTCTGTGCTTCAGTTTTCATGTCTATTAAATAGACATAATAATACCACCTCCATAATAATACCACCTAATAATACCACCTCCATAATAATACCACCTCCATAATATTAAATATGTCTATTTAATATGTCTATTAAATAGACATAATAATACCACCATTAAATGAACTCTAATGCAACTACATTATTAGTGCAGTGCTTGCTATATATTTATGATACAATAAATGTTAATAATTCACATCCTCTATTATTATTATTATTACATGTGGTTTCCTAATTGGTCAGCTTACCTCCAATCTTTCTATCTCAAATGCTGTTTACACAGCTGCCAAAGTAAAATTCTGGAAGACCTCCTCTGACTGCAAAAACCTTAGAGGCTTCCTAATTCCTGTGAATTAAAAAGCGGGATTTTTGGAATAATATAAGAACATCCATTACCTGTTTTACTTATCTTTAGATTCCTCTCTAGCCATGTTAGCCTATTCCCAGTTTCCTAAAAGTCCTGCATTTGTCAACCTGTGTGTTCATGCCCCCCTTCCTTCCACCCCTCTCTCCACTCATCTGCTCACCTACCACCTGACCATCCACCCATCCAACAAATATTTATTGAATGCTTACTCTGTGCCAGGTGCATTGAGGACACAATGATGAACAAGTAAAGAAAAAGCTAAAAAGATATTGGGGATAATGACAACTCTTCTGAAGAAATGCGACAGGCTCACGTGGGTGGAGGTGCTCCTTTATGAAGGATGCTCCGGAAGCTTTTATGGAAAGGCCTTTGACCCGAGACTTGGGGAGGCCGCTATGGAAATACCTGGAGTGAGAATGTTCTAGGCAGGGGTGACAGCTCCGGCATAGGTTTTGCAGAAAGCCAGCTGTTGCGACAAATAACCCCCAAATCTCAGCTGCTTAACACAATTAGTGCATTTCTTTCTCACTTCAGAACCCAGTGTGGGTGGAGGGCATTGCTCCACCTGGCCACACTCGGATGATGTAGCTCAACAGCCTCCAGGGGGCCAATAGCTTA